CTTGTTGAATCTGCTACTGTAGATTCTGGCAAACTGAGTCACTAATCACCTTCTCACCATTGGCTACTATTACCACCAATGGGTTGGCTTTCTTAGACACTTTTCTTAGTTGATTCAATAGCTTAGGGTCTAAAAAGCTATGAGTGCTCCCGCTATCAATTAGAATTACCACTGATTGCTCCTGAATGGTCACTAATAGTTTGATGGTGTTCAATCCTTCACCACCAACCACTACACACAAAGAGACCTCTACATCCTCAGCTTCTGCCTTTTCTTCTTCTTGCTCTAGCAAAGCAGAAAGCTCTCTTCATTCCATGTCCTCAATTATATTAAAAGTAGGTCCATTGCATTCGTGTCATGGTTGCCAAAGGTGGAAACATTTGAAGCAGATCCTCTGATGTCTCAATTGGTTTCTGAGTTGGGTGATTTCTGGTGATTTGGAAGCAGTTATTTGTGTGGCTGAAGTAGGTTTGTGGGTGGAGTTTAGGTTAGGGATGGATGGGTTATTTGAATTAGAGCTATAGGGTTTAGATGTTTGGGAGATTTTGGTGTTCCAGGTTTGGTTCTTAGGGCTTTCAGTAGGCTTGAGACCCCTCTCAAATTGTTTGGCAAACCAAATAACATCCTCCAAGGTTCTTGGTTTGGCAGTTCTAACAAAGCACCTGAGATTCTGCCTCAATCTAGCAACATAATTCTCTAAGAAATATCCTTTAGTTAGGCAATGCTGAGCCTGCAAAAGGAGGCTCTTGAACTCCTCATATCCACCAGTAAACTCATCTATCCCACCCCACTGTTTAAATGCAGCAAAATCTTCCATAAGGGAGACTCCACTGTCCCCAAACCTCTTGCAGATAGCCTCAGCAAAGGCCCCTCACTGGAATCCTGCTCTTAACCCACAGATATAACCCTCAAACCACAGTCCCACATTCCCTGACAATTGCACAAACAATACATTAACCACTTCATCTATGGGGATATGGGAAATCACAAAAAAACTTTTACATCTGATGATCCATTGCCTAGAGTTGCTATAATCAAAAGTGGGGAAGTCACTTTCACACCTGGGGAAATGATCTGAAATCTGCATTGCCACACCAGATCTCAATCCTTCTCTCCTGGAAATCCATTCTCCAGAAGCCCTTTCTGCTAGTCCCACACTCACTGGTGTAATCCCATTCATTCCAGCTCCATCTGCCTCCCCTCCTTGCATAGGAGCCTTGTTAGGCCTACCTCCAGGGTTAGGGTTCTCTGAATACTGCCCCTAGACTGAAGATTGCCCCGGGGAGTTAGCCATGATGGGTGGTGGTGTCCTATTCAGTCTCATGATCCGCATTATCTCTTCTCAGAGGCTACAGAACTGGTTAGCTACTTGAGTGGTAAGCTCAGCGACTGCATCTTGCGTAGCCTGGATCTTGGTGTCAATCTTACTATTCATCTCTATAACAGTAGCTTCAAGCTTTCGAATCTGATTGTCCATTGTTAGGCTTTGATACCACTTGGAATGCTCTCATCTATGAATTAGGGTTTCAAGTGATCATAAGGGAAGTTGGGGGAGAAGTAGAATAAGAAAAGAGGGAGAAACATAGAATTCAGTTTATTAATTCGCATAAAAAATCCACATTGATCCCTCAGGATTACATATAGATCAATCCAACTGATCCCTATTCTACAGGAATTAAACAGAAACAGTTGTGAAGACAAATTGCAACTTGGCCGGAAACGATGTCGTCTGAATATCTCATAACAGCCTCCAACGGTACATCAAAACGACACCGTATGACTTATGTCTCAACGACTCTCAACTATATTCATCATGCAACAACGTTTTGTCTGAGCTTTTCCTTCCTCTTTCCATTCTCGATTCCTTCTTCTTTCTTTCCGGCTTAGTTCCTCCATTCTTCTTCCCTTCTTCATTAATGGCTGCTACTAGAGCTATTACAATAACCTTTGTGACTAATCCTAAAAACAAGGAAGTGACAAGAGAGCTAGTTCATAACGAAAGTATGACAAGAGAAATTTGGAGACACCCATTTACCTCCAGAGCCATTCATAACGAAAGTATGACTATGGTGCCTAAATAATCCTCTCTGTCCATTGTAGAAGGGGATCCACAAAAAGTAAATCCGAAAGTAACCACAACAGCAAAAGTTGATCCGGAAGAAGTTGGAGCACTAGAGGTCGTTTTGGAAAAAGCCGATACTACATACCAAGGTATCAAAAAAGTTGAATTGGTATTGTGATTTCGAAAGGAGTAGAGAATCTGGAAGAAGTGATCTAAGAAGGTATTGAAGTCTATGTCTCATTATGTAGCTCTTTCAAGGACAATTAACAACCAGAAGAAGATTAATTAGCATGGGGAATATGTTAATGATCCAATCTTTGGGGAGTGCAAGTGTGGGAAATACACCCAACCTGCTGACTAACCAACCAAAATAAATTGTCAGAGCTCATGGAATTCAATTGTTGGGTCAGGCTATTAAAGTTGAGCATCAATAAGTAATATACCAAGAAAGCGTTTGATTAAAAGAATTCATCCATGCCTTCAAAAATATATGCTTTGGCAAAATAAGCCAATGACATTTGTCCCATTTAAGAAAGGTGGATGGGATGAAGCATTCAAGTTGTTTGATGTACCGAACTATACTAAAGACATGCAAGTTTGATAGACAAATAGAGGTATACCAAAATAACTTTAGAAATGGCAGTGCAACAGTTTGAAGACTAAAATGACGACTCAGGAGTGTTTCTGTAACTAGAAGGGAGAAATGGCTCAATAGGCTCAATTACATAAGAAGGTGGAAGAAGTGAAAAGGAAGTAGGAAGAGGAAAGGAGCGGAGAAGGAGTTAGTGAGCTAGGGATGAATTAGAGAGAAGACCCTACAAAAGGCTCAGGAGGTAAAAGGTTAGAAGATGTTGACATTTAGGGGGAAGAAGTAAGCATCCGGAGTGCTAAGATAAATTGGAGTTGATTGAAGATATTTTGATTTTGATATCTTGTAATAATTTTATTTTGTAATTTTTAGAACTCTCATGTATCCAAAAATTGATTAATAAAATTATATTTGTTTGTGGTGAGAGTGTAATCAATATAACCTCTTTATATTTTGACATCATTAAAAATAGAGAAATTGTTAGGAATAAATTTTAACTGATGTAAAAGATATTGTATAGGTAAATTAGACCCCTCATTCTTAATTGTAAATCTAGATAGGCTTCGTAAATCATTTGATCGAAATGAAGAAGGTTCTGAACGAAGCAACTGGAACGAAACGCTTAAGAACGAAGCAACCGGTAGGAAGGGCTATGAAAGAAGGAGACATGAAGGAAAGAGTTCGGAATGAAGCAAATGGGATCGAAGGAGAATAGCTCAAAAGTGATCTTCATGAAAGAGAAAAAGGGCATTCAATGATATTATTCAAGTTCATAAGGGCTTTATTGAATATTCTTTAAGGAATATTGTCCTTAGAAGAATTTCGTACGAGGAAGAACAAAATGAGTCATTGAAGAAGTAGTTTTTTTTTTTACTTTAATTTGTAATGATCATACACACTGATAGGGAAACAATCTTTACATTATGGATATCAAGATGCAAGAGTTCAAATCTATGGCAGCAGATTTTAGGTGATTTTGGCAGCTTTTGGACGACTACCACTTGCTAAGTGACAACAGGTAAATTTGAATTTCAAGATGATGCTCATCTATCCCTCCTCGTCTATAAAATGAGGATCTCAAGCTTAGAAGAAAAGAGAAGAGCTATGCAAGTTATTGAAAAATTGTGATCAACTCTTCAAGCGATTGTTAAAGTGTTACATTGTTGAATCAAGCTTCTAAACTGAAGAAAATAATCAGTTTGATTCTTGCAAGTCTAGCCCTCAACTACAAACATCTTTCAGTTGAAGGAAGTTGGAAGATAAACCTAGAAAGGGACTTGGTGCGTGACCCTTATCTTAAGGACTCTCTAGTTGAAGGTGAAGGCTTCTTGCCACTTTGTATTTGTGTATAAAATACATATATAGTAGAATCCTCATTGCAGTCAAGGAGAAGTTTGAAGTAGGAAAGTTTCTCTAAACCACTATAAAATTCTTTGTCTCTCCTTGAATTCATTTTCACTACTTCAACTGTGCAACTAACCCCATATTTACACACACTAACACTTAAAATCTTCAAACTTAGCTACACATTTTATAAGGCAAGCACAAACACTTCCGTTTCAAGGAAATTCAATTTCCGAGCATTGATTTATAAATTCAAGCACATTTACAACTGACTAAACAAGTTTTTATTGTTAGAAGGTCTATTCAACCCTCATCCCCTCAACCTTTCAGACTTTTTAATTTACTCGCGAAGAACGCGCGCGCGCACACACACACGCGCGCGCACACACACACGCGCGCGCACACACACACAAGTATTTGATTACTATTTTTGTAGTTTCACTCCTATGGGAAACTACAAAAATACTAAATAAAATTTAAAATAATATTTGATTATATATAGAAAAGTTTAATCTGCAAAAAGTATAAATTTTTAAAATAATTAAATATGGATAATATTATCTTAAACTCTTTAGATTAATATTAAAATCTATAAAAAAAAATTGTTGGTAATATTAAAACTAATTTCTATTTATTCAAAATACAATGTACATAAAATAACAATTCAAAAATTAGATATGGATAATATTATTTGATTTTTTTAGAATAATATGAAAAACTACAAAAATAAATTTTTTTAGTCACTCATATTAAAATTAATATCTAATTTTAGAAAGGCTATATGAAATATTAATTTTGTAAAAATCAGATATATATATAATATTATATTATTTTTTAGATTAATATAGAAAACTACAAAAATAATAAATAATATAATTGATGACATTTAAATTTGACATTATTTTAATAAATTATAAATCAATATCAGTAAATTTTAAATCAATTTTTCATTAAATGATTTTACTTAATTAGCAAGTACTTTGATTTAATGTATTATATTTTAACCTTTTCTATGCAACCAATGGTAATATATCTGGTTTCTTCTGCCTCATAGCGCATTAACTCGATTGCTTTTTTCATAGCCATTCCTCTAATTTTTTTGAAAGGCCAAAGACTCATGAATGGCTCAGTGCAGTATTGAAGAGTATTCCACAACAGATCTTGTATGAAACTATGAGGGTAGTAGATGTCCCCCTGCATTGGAAGTTGATTGTATACAAGTTAATTTTAATTTTATCTATAGTTTAATTAAAAGGGTACTTGACATATTTGTACGTGTCTAGACTAACCTTATAACAATCCATGCGAGCACTATTCCAATCAATTTGATCATAAGGTTTTACATGAATTTCACTTCTTATGCAAATAACAAGATCAGTTAACGGTCCATGATATCTTCTTGCATACAAGTATGACATCGGTATGTACGTTGTCCGACAATAACACCACATTTTTGCTATAATATATTGAGAGTTATCGTTATAGATTTTAAATAATTTACTTATTTTATTATAATAAGCAATTAAGCACTTTAATAATTACCTGGATGGAAAATAAATTTGGAAGGGAAAAGCCAGAATTCTGGTGGGAGTGGATTACACCCATCCCACTCGTACACTCCAAGCACCTATATATGCCAAAAATTATTTAAATTTTAACAATTGAGAAATGATTATTATATTATTTAATCTCGAAACTCAAAAATTATCTATTGGGCAGACGTTAGTAAAGGCCAAGTCTAGCATCCAGCGACTAAGGGAAGCAATTTATATCACGAACTAGGGTCCATATAGCATTATGGACCCTGAATCGAAATGACGAGGTACATAATGCATACTCGTAAGGTACATGATGTGGTTAATACATGGGTGTATACGAATGGGTAATGGTATTTGGGGTCCGATTCATATTCTCCCACAGATGGGTCTGCTTGTTGATTAAGTGGCTGAGCTCAAGAAAGGTGACAGTGAGTCAAAGAGTCCCGAGCTGACAATGGTTAGAAGGAAATGCCAAAAGTCCCCCCCCCCCCCCGCCCCCCCCCCCCCCCCCTTTACAAGGTACTAAATGCGCCTTATATAGAGGGAAAAAAAAGGAACACATGCGAACCACGTGTCACTCATGCATGGAGGCGGTCGAAAGCCATGCAAATTTGCCAACATGTGAATAAGTTCCTGACACGTAGCTTTCCAATGCAGTCGGACATGATGTCGAATATTGTGCTTGTCCTCTAGTTTAAAAGAGGTTGTAAGCTCGGGGACTCTGAGCCGAGCTTCGCGGTCGGTACTGAGTCAAGGTGGATGCGTGTAGAATATTACATTGCAGACGGTGACAACGGGTCCGCGTGAACGAGAATGAGGTTGGGTGAGATCGGGAAGTGTGTCTTGTTGTAGGTAGTATACGAACCGAGCATCAATATGGTCAAATAGTCGAGATATATTTCCCATCAAATAGCATCCCTAGTCCTTGCCCGATGCTAGGTTACTTCGGAGAGGCTCGGACTAAAAAATCTGACCAGAATCACTATTTAAGAGCCCTTTGCTGGGCCAGGGTTGCATGTGGCACAGGTTTATGGTAGCACGCATGGATCACCGCCCAAGTTATTTCGATTTACACGTGTTGCGCCTTAGTCGATCGCCTAGGGATCCGTCCCAATTTTTAGATTTTCCCACCTCCCCCATCTATAAATACGACACTATTTTAGGCTGAATTAACGCTTTTCCTTCACGCTATTACAAGAGCCTCCCGAGAGCCTGTGCACTAAAGCAATTTAGCAACCTTCGACGAGACTAACGCTTGCAGTCGTCTTTCTTGGTAAGAACTCGTTCATGAATATATTCTCTTAATTCATTCCTATTCTTATTTTCTTAGCATTTAGCTTTCTCGGTTAGCTTCCCGTTCTAAATGTCCTCTTCTTCCAAAGGAGGAGACATGTCAGACTCAGATAGTCAAAACGCCTCGTTGCAAGACTACGACGATACAATTGTGATCGAGTTGTTCTCCTGTCATCTTACGACTCGACGATACATAAGGTGGAGGAGTTTTATGAGGTCAAAGCTTCCACTCCAGATGTTGCTGCAGCTCGGGCTAACAAGAAACAGGGAAGTTTCGGGTGGTCCGAGCACAAAGAGGTGGGGCCTTCCACACGAGTAACCTTTTTCAGGGCTCATGTCGCTTCGAGCCCCTCTACTTCTTGAATAGACACAAATCTCCTAGTCTAACTTGTGGTCAGTAGCCCCTCAACTCACATCTTAGCCCCCACCCTAGTGAGTGGGCAACATAAGTTTATAAGTGCTAAAGCCATAGAGACGTATCACCCTCAATTAACACATATCGATCTCCAAGAATTATCCAGCCTTCTAGACGGTCGGTCTACGTATGACGCTCGTCATAGACTGGGTAATATCATAAAGCGACATTGGGGGGAATGGATCGAGATCCACTTAGACTCCTTAAAAACACACCAGACCCTTCTGCTCACCCCATTCCCCTCAGCTTTCCTATAGTTTTACAGGGTTCTGCAGGGGTAGGTTTGCTCAAACGCTCACTATACCATAGCCTATTTCCCCCAAATATGCGCTCGACACAACATCATGTGTATGCTCGAGCTATTTCATTTCTTATTTTCAATCCGGGCTCCACTCTGAAACACGGGGGCGAGTTTCTTATGGTTAGGTCGAAAGCCTCGATGTGTAGTATTTTTAAACTTCCAGACAATAATAAGGGGAGGAAGAATCAATTTTTCTCTCTCCAATATTATGGGGTGTTCCGAACTCCCGAGGAATATGCAGCGGCCAACCTCCAAGAGCCTCAGTACGATCTCGACAAGAAGTATATACCCGAGAGAAAGGAGATTACCGTCGCAGTTCCCCCGAGAGTGGCTAAATCGGCCTGAGGAGATATTAACGCTTAAATCCTAGCTTCCAAGTCAAACGTAGTAGGTTTTAAATTTTTGTCTCCCTAACTTTTTGTACTAAATTTTATAGAGATGGGCCTGGATTAGTCGTTAGAGGTTGCAACCACCCAAGTCCTCTGCCACAATGTCGCCTTATGCAGGAAGAAGACGATGATCACAACGACCTCGACCATCATCCCTTCCGAGCTACAGCTGACGATAGTGGTACAGACGGGTTCGGGTGTCGACCTCCCCGTGACCCGGGATTACAACAAGAGGGGGAAAGATAATTCCACTAGTGGATACAAAGAGGGCCGATTAATGAGGCCGAAGGGGTTGGTCTCTCTCGACCACACTCCGATCATAGACGCCCTCCTATCCGGGTTAAAACTTGTGTCCCTCTTGGAAAAAAATTGTTCTTTCATGCTTCTCCCCGAAGACACCTCCGAGTGGTTGACCAACCGAGTCGGCGAACAAGGAGCCCGGGAGATCATACAGGTAATCCCTCGCTCAGCACTTTTCCTTTTCAGTATTTTTCCCATGACTTACATACAACGATCGCTGCAATTGAGCAACACTCTAGCTAATCTCTTATGTTGGGCCAGGGGTGCCGAACAGGCACACTAGAAGGACTTGGAGACTGTCAAGAAGGCCCTTGCCCGGAGACATTAAAAGATCCGTGATCTGGAGGGCAAGGTCACATAGCTCGAGAAGAAGGTCGGGATAGTCATCTCGGACAATAAGGCCTCTCCAACCTTTCTCAGCGATGCAATGATGGCATCCAGGCTGCTGGCTACCCGCATCTTCAGGGACCGGGACCGTGTCGAACCCTTTTTCATGTCATTGCTCGAGACTGAATTGGGGGAGGAACTAGTGCGGACCTACAGTAAGTGTGCGTTCTTGTGTGGGAAGCATAAAATGCAGACCGACGTCTAGGAAGCTCTGACCGATTCGCTAGACGACGACGGACTAGCGACTATTTTAAGCATTCTACCTGAGAAGGTCGCCGACCCCGATCCAACCCCTCACACTCAGCCCCGGCCAACAGAATTCGTTCGGGGTTGCACTGAGGAGGCTAGTGAGGAGATACCTCAGGGCTGAAGTCATCTGTCTGGGAGCCCGACCCCATTGTGTTGGGCAAATTATTTTAGACATAATTTTGGGGAGCTTGGCCCCTCTTGTGCCGAGCACGCTGAATTATGCCCTTTCAATTTTAATCCCGGTCGCTTATTTCCAATCACGTTGTTCTCTTTTCTTTCCATCTTTTCAATCCAAAGTACGTGTTGTCACCTTTTGCAACACCCCAAATTTAGGGATTCCCGACTAAAATATCGCAGTCACATGATCAGGTCTTGGGTTTGTTAACCCATTCAGCTTGGGCAAGCGAGGGTCCACCGGCCTAAAATTTATAAGCGGCACATTTTCCTTTCTTCTAACCCCTTATACTTGGAGCATGTGTTCGGGGCTCACGATCTACTGATCGAGATTTTATGCGATCCATTGATCAATTTTATGCAATCTAGTGATCAATTTATGTGTTCGGGGCTCACGATCCACTTGGGCTTTTCGGACGTCGAAAAAGTTACTTGGACATTACCTAATGTAAAAGTTACAACAACACACTACATACACAACCAGAAAATACCACTTCGCCCGATCGGGCTTACAAAATCAGATCACTACTGCACCGAACAACACGAATTACAAACATTACAAACTTGAAATTTGATTTTACATGTAAAACATTGTGAAATGCTCAGAATTTCTAACCATACCCCGGTCATTCATGTTCCAAACAGGTTGCCGTCGAGGTGACATTTTGACCTTGTTCGCATGGTTGGGACGTGCACTACTGAGTCCAGGACACAGAATCACTAATCCATTAGCTCCCCACCCTCTGTGGTGTTAAGATCAGCAAAGTGGAGTAGATAAAATAATATGATAATTTCCTTTGCTTAATACGCTCGGTGTCTTCCGACTTTAGGATTGAGTTTCATTCTATTATCGTAATTTTATCGACGAATTTTAGCGATCAGGTGATCGATCGGATTTTTAGCATGATCAAGGGATCAATTTTTACCGATCTAGGGATCGGAATTATTGTGGTCTAGAGACTGTTTTGTACTGACGTTGAGGTCGGGATTAGCATTGATCTAGAGATCCGAAACTTGATACGATCTAGAGACCCTTTTACTCAGCATAAAGGTTAGGTTTGACACGTCTTCTGATCTACAAACGCGAAGGTTGGTTTTACATCGATCTTAGGATCGAATATGCTGCGGTCTAGGAACCGTTTTGTACTGATGTGAAGGTCAGATCTTGCGGGCTACGTTGCGTTGTGCCGACATGGATGTCAGATCTTGCACCTATCTAGAATTCTAGATATCGGATTTTTGCGATATAGAGACCGTCTTGTGCCGACACGGAGGTTGGATCTTAGACCAGTCTAGAGATCGGAATTGTTGCGGTCTAGGTACCGTCTTGTGTAGACACGGAGGTCGGATTTTGCACAAATCTATAGATCCGATTTGATGTAGTCTAGGGACCGTCTTTTGCATACACGGAGGTCGGATCTTGCACCAATCTAGAGATTGGAATTGTTGTGGTCTAGGGACCGTCTTGTGCCGACACGGAGGTTAGATTTTGCGCTAATCTAGAGATCAGATTTGTTGCGATCTAGAGACCGTCATGTGCCGACACGGAGGTCAGATTTTGCATCGATCTAGGGATCGAACACATTATGATCTAGAGATCATTCTTCGGATTTATTCTTCAATCAAGAGATCAGGCATATGGCAACCTAAGTTACATTACAATAGAACATAACTAATTTCGTTCACTAAATATGCATTATATTAAGGCCATTACAAAGTTTACTGTATTCGAGCTAAACTAAATCAACAAGTGGCCGATTGGTCGGCTAGTCATTGTATAGACCAGTGTCGCTTAATTGGCCACTAAATCGAACGATGGTTTCTAGCATGAGGGGCGCAACAATGCCTTTGGCTTTGATATATTAGCAAACTCCGCCTCCTCTTGAGGTTCCTTGGATGATTGCTCATCGTGATTCCGCACTTGGAAGGGTGCTCCTAATCGATGTTGTGCTAGCGACCACAAGTCATTGTCACTGCAATCAATTCCATCTATACCCAACCAATATTGGATTGGTCGGGTGACCAACTTTGATCTTATTGCCTTGTAGCTACCACTTTCATCACTACTAGTGGTGTTCTGGGACGTTCGGGAAGACCACGTATATGGGATGTGGAGGCTTGGGTTGACATAAGATGAGTACTTGCGGATGTAGGCCGATGAGTGATAAGGCGGTGAAGTCACCCACCGTTGCGAGGTGAAGTCCCATCCGAGAACCAGACCGATCTAAAGAGGATTTATGGTTTGGCTCAGGGCAGATGGGCGAATGATGTCCGAAATCACTCTACTGAAGTTAACTTGACATGGGTTGAACTCGGAAAAGGTGACTATGTGTCAAAGAGTCCCGAGCTGACAATGGTTAGGTGGAAATGCCAAAACTCCCCCCCCCCCCCCCCCCCCCCTTTACAAGGTACTAAACACGCTTTAAATAAAGGAAGAAAAAGGGAACACATGTGGGGGACTCAACATGTGAACCATGTGTCGCGCATGCGTGGAGGCGATCAGAAGTAATGCTCATCGTCTCAAAATTGTGAGGCGGTATAAGAAAATAAAGTTACGCCCTCGATACTAGCTATAACCTTTGGTATAGTGGTAAGCGTTTGATCCTAACAAGCTAAGTGGTATCGAAGCTAGGTCTTCTATGACTTATTAGTGCTGTGAGAAGGAATTGTTGGGCGAAGGCTCTGTGAGAAGGAATTGTTGGGCAAGGCTGGTAAAAGCCAAAATGAAAAAAACTAACATTATCAAGCTTGATCATATCCTAACATTATCTAAAACGTAACTTACAGAAAGATAAAGCTTTCCCCATGAGGCAATTCCAGTGGCACCTCCATGATCAAGAATCCACTTTCGACCTCTAGCAATGGCACCATCACCATCATCAGCCTCTTCTCCAAGCAAACGCAAGGACACATAGCTAAGTGCTGATCCCATCATGGTACTGTGTCCATCTACGTATAATCCCCACCCACCATCTTCATTCTATCAAATCAAAACAACCAACATATAGTATGAAAAATTCACATAATATAAGGAACTGGTCCATTGGTAATTACTAGCTACAGTATTATTTTCATATATATAGAATCATATATATCTTTGGAACATGAAATTAATATAGGGTTTGATACGTACTTGATGATTGTAGATATATCGAACTAATTCTTTTTTGTGCTCGGACGTTAAACTTGTATCAATTGCTCCACTAATGTACAACACAATCAGCTGCAAATCATCTTAAAGAATTATTTTCTTTTATGAAGACATCCCTACCCTAAAGTAAAGCAAAAACTTGTACTTGTGAAACCGTCAAAGGAATCTTTGTCTTTGTGACGGGTCGAGTTAATATGAAAATGTAATGCTCATACCAAAAAATGTAATAGTAATCAAGAATAAAATAATTGTTATTTATAAGAGAAATTGTAATATTGTTGAAAAAAAAAAAAATCCTAATTACTATAACATTTTTTATTATAAATTTTAACTCGATCCATTTCAAAAGATAGGTGAAACAGTGTCACATGATAGTGAGTCCTAAAGTAATCATTATAGCAAAATATATAGGATACCAAGGGAGGAGTAAAAAACATTGGGCCAGCAATCTCAGCTGGCCAGTGCCCATCTTTAGCTTGAAGTGCACAGTTCAATCGTACGGCTTTCCTAACAGCTGTTGTGACAGCCTCGTAATTCACTTCTTCTTCCTCTCCTAGTCTTGTCGGAGGGATACTCAACACATCAATCCCACTTTCTTTGATCATCTGTACACAAAGATTAATCATCAAACATTAAATATTAAAACAATGAAATCAGGATGGATTATATTGTTACTCCGGGTATGTGACATACCTGCATTCTCATCAACAAATCACCACAGACATTATGGAAACCATTCCGCCGGTTTTTTGTGAAGTCTTGACGGGCTTTTTCAATCGCTACTCGTTCTTCCGGTGTGCCGGCATTAGAGTCATACTCCCATATTTGTCTACCGACGTAGTTGTTGGTGCTGTATATGTACGGCCCCCCACCTTCAGCAATCTTAAGCTTCCACATATTCTTGCTAGTATGCTGGTGATTTAACAGAACAGGAAAAGGAAAACTAGAGAGACATGTGATAACAACTATATATATATATATATATATGTGGCAATTTATATCCTACACCACGGCGCGCGTTGCACTGTGCGCCTAGATGCAAAACGAATTTGTTTTAATTTAATTTTTTTTTTTAAATTTCCCGCCCCAGTGAATGGCAGTAATTTTTTTCTTTAAAAAAACCCGTTGTTCAAAAATGTACATAATGTTATACTAGAATAGACATAATTGTATACATGAATGTACATATTTATATAACAAAATATACATACTCTTTTTAAAAGATAATACACATAATCTAACATAATACATAATAAACATAAACTTTTAACATAATACACATCAACTCTTAACATAATACACACAAATTTTCTAATTCGGATGTACATAATTGTATAAAAAGAATGTACATAATTGTATAAAAAATGTACATAACTGTATGAACAAATATATATAATTGTATGAACAAATACACATAATTGTGTGAACAAATACACATAATCACAGTAACTTCCTACCGCGCCTCCCAAAACGACGTCGTTTTGGAAGGTGCGCAGCGCACAGTGCTACGCGCGTCGCGGTGTAGGGTATAACGATTGTATATATATATATATAGGGATGTCAAATCGGGCTTGAACCCGATGGGCTAGCCCGATAACTAGATGGGCTTGAACCCGATAGGGCCAACCCGAAATTAAATAGGCTAGCCCGATAACACGAACTATTGAAAACTATTCTTTATTATAGAATTGATGTGAAACATAACATACATGAAATTTATAGGTGAGTTCATCTTTAGTATTTTTTTTATTACATTTTCAAATAAAATTTTAATAAATATATTACAATATAAATTATTTTTATAATAATAAATAATGAAAAGTTAAAAACTGACTGTAAATATTATATTATAGTGTAACTGTGTGCGTATATTAATTATTTTTAGTTAGAATTTAAGAATGTCGGTTTAGATTAATTGAATTATGTATAAATTTATATTTATTAGTGTATATGTCCTAGTTTGAAATATAATTATAATTTATTTAACATTGATATAATTTATGGGTAATATTTTTATTTTTACTTTATAATTATAATACTATTAAGTTATGAAGTTTATAAAATGTATAGTTTAATACTTTATTTAATTTATGTAATAAATAAAATTTAAATTAATTAATTAATTATATATATATATATATATATATATATTAAATATTAATATAAAATACAATTAAACTTATTAATCAATACTTGTAAAAAATAATAATTATAATATGAGTAAGTTATATATAAATATATATAAAAAAAAATATAGATCGACAGCTCAAATCAATGAAAATTAGAAAAAAAAAACGCGCCTCTGGAAAAAACCAAGCAACTTACCCTTAAACATGAAAATGGCGCACCTTCAATACACAAACCACGCACCTTAAGTACATAAATCATGCATCTTAAGAATACAAACCACGCACCTAAGGTTTTAAAATGGCGCACCTTATGTTTCAACAATTCACGAACGTTAAGCATAAAAATCACGCACCATAAAAAGGAAAATCGCGCATCTTTAAAAGGAAAATCACGCACATTAAGCTTCAAGTTCACGCAATTTAAGCTTCAAGTTTACGCACCTTAAGTTTCAACAACTACTCACATTAAGCACACAAAAACCACGTACCTTAAGTTTCAACAACTATTCACATTAAGCACACAAACCACGCACCTTAAATACAAAAACCACGCACCTTAACCACACAAACTCACGCAACTTAAGCACAAAAATCACGTACCTTAAATTTGACCTAGATGCAAAAATTACCAAATTACCACCACGTTTTATTTATTTTTATTTTTATTTTTATTTTTTTTTATTTTGTTAATCCTGGACGTTGATTTAAGCAAGATCAATAACTCAAATTTAACAACACAATCGTACAAGACACACCCAACCGCATTAGAACTGAATTATATATATATATATATATATATATATATATATATATATATATATATATATATACACATATACATTGGCGGACCTACCATGGGCAGTGGAAGCAGCTGCCCCCACTCACCCCCTCCCCTTAACCCCCTTTATATATTATAAACATAAGATATACAAAAGACTTCGTTACCTTAGGTGGTTAAAACCTTAAATTTGTAATGGCATACCATCCCAGTAGCTGCACTTTTTTGTTATATTTGCTGTTTCTCTTCTTTATTTTAGCCTTTCTAATCCTTCAATAAATTAAATAAATTTTTAAGTTTACTTTTTTGTGAACGTAGTCACAAGATTATATTATACTTCATTATATTCGAATGAATCATTTAGTTAATTTTATATATATATATTTTTCGCTTTTTTAAAGCCATTTCAATTCTTCAATAAATTAAATATTTTTTCAAGTCTACTTTTTTGTGAATGTAGTCCACAAGTTTATATTACACTTCATTATATTCGAATTAATCATTTAGATAATGTAGTTCAGAAGTATATATTATACTAATTGTATTCGAATCTAGAAAAATGTAAAGTTCATCTAACTAAAAGAAAATTAAAATTAAAGTATTTATAAATATATTGTCGATTATGTTTCATATATACAGTTTGTTTCTAAAGTCATTTGAACTAAGCCCCCACTCACATACTTTTTTGGATCCGCCACTATATATATATATATATATATATATATATATATATATATATATATATAATATACATCCACACACGTGCACTGTTTTTTATTTTTTAGTAAGTTGTATAAATGCTAGGCGCTACTCACTAGTACAAAAACAGTCATTCGCGTCCAAAGGTAATGCTAAAAGGCGTCCAAAGTTGCTTGGACGCGGATGTAGAAAACGCTAATTGTATATTTGGACGCGAAAAATGATAATTCGCGTCCAAAGTTGACGAACTTGGGACGTGTATAGTATTTTTTATTAAAAATATAAACACTATACGCGTTCAAAGTTCATGAACTTTTGACGCCTATAGTGTTTGTATTTTAAAAAAAATACTATACGCGTATAAAGTTCATGAACTTTGTATGCGTATTATATATATATATATATATATATATATATATATATATATATATATATTATATTTAAGATAAAAAAAAAACTGAAATCAGCACTAATACATAATATGACAAACAATAAATTGTCATATTTTGCGGCATTGAACTTATAGGCGCATAATATATTTAAATCTAAAAAGATAATCTAAACATACTTGGAAAAATCTTAAGATCCACTTCTGAACCAGAATATTTATGGTTTTCTATTGACAGTGTCAAACAAAAATAAAAGTAAAAGCCTGAGCTTTTAAGTTTGTAACTTTCAGCATTGCATTCATTATGTTTTCCAAAAAGAAATCTAATAACTAAACTTATAGACTCACTTTGATGAAGGATGAAAGGCTGAGGCAGCAAACCATCCTTGTGTCAATCGGCGTGCTGTGGACGATGAAGATCGAAGTCGAAGTGAAGCAGCGACAATGCGGCGCTGGACGGGATGGGAAGATGGAGAGCGGTGGACGGCGGGGACGATGGAGAGCTGATGGACGGCGTCGACGATCGAAGTGAAGGATGAAGATCGGAGCTGATGGACGGCAGGAAGATGGAGAGCGGTGCGTGCGATCTGATCTGCTGCTAGGGCTTTTTTGGATAAAAAATAATAACACGCGTCCAAAGTTTGACACTTTGGACGCGTGTTATGAATGTGCTTCTATTATTTGCGTCCAAAGTACTGAGCTTTGGACGCGAATAATACGAGACATTTAATATTGGCGTCCAAAGTACAGAGCTTTGGACGCCTATACTATTTTAAAATAAATAAATAAATAAAATTATTTATATAATGGCATTTTAATTATAAAAATGCCACCGCACTATACTTTAGGCGTCTAAAGTTCTAACTTTGGACGCGAATTATTCGATTTTATTGATGTTTTTTGTACTAGTGACTCCATCGTCCGATTAGCGCCTACTGCAACCATGCTTTTAATATATTAAAAATGTACTTTTTATTATAGTCAACATAGCACTATGTGAACCATTTGCAATGTACACAACAAATTAGGCCAGCGAATTACTTATATAATCAAATGAAGTTATAGTGTCAATGTGATCATTTGAAGTCATCTACTACATTCGTTCAGACAATACTTTACTGATTAGTGTTAAACATAGAGCTTGAGCTAGTCTTTAGATAATGTTGTTATTTACTTTTCTTTAGTCTTCTTCTCCCTCTTTTCTTTAGTCTTCAGTTATGCTTTGTTGCCTATTTATACGTTCCGTGTAACTCTTTATTAATGCAATTCATCCTACTTTCACAGTCAGTACATACGCAGACATATTCAAATCGTTTGTTTCCATTAACTTTTGCTACCTAACTCTGAAAATCTAGGGTGAGGTGGATAAAATTAAAAACATTAATTTTCTTTTTCTTTGTTTTTCACCATGGGCTGCATGCATTTTGTATTTTTAAAAAAATTTTAGTATTATTTATTTATTTATTGAAAAATATATTAATTTATTATTGTGGTGTAAAAGTGGGGCCGCTTTTGAAAGTGAGAGAGTATTTTAGGAATGTAGAAAAAATAATGAAAAGATTGCAACTTTGATGATTAAAAAGTAGGGCTCACTTTTGAAAGTGAGAGAATATTGCAGTGATAATTAAGGATGATGAGCTCTACTACATGGCGTGGACTTCCAAATTCTACCCATCACTATTATTCCTTCACGTAGCAAATATTAATATGTTATTTTCATTCTGTGGATCCAAATAAAAATGTTTACATCATCAATCATAAAGATGTAAACAATGAGTATGTTGAGATTAACAGGAACAAGAAAAATAACAATGGCAGAAAAGGTAAAGAAGACATGATTTACGTGGTTCGGCAATGTGCATACGTCTACGGGAGTGAAACAATACTCTTATTTATAGTAATAGTGATAGTAGTGACACAACCCCTTAAGGATACAACTAATATATTTATAGACATTTAATCCTTATACAAAAGGTTTACCCGTTTTA